TTCATTTTTAAATTTTGCCATTACACAGTCACATCAGATTTTCATTTTGAAGTGAAACATGAGTTTAATTCACAATTGATTGATCACTGGTTGGTAATCAATGTCATGCGTGTCAAGTCCTTTTTAGTGCTAATCGAATGCTATCGATCCAGTTGCAATGTGGTCACCAGTCTAGGTGGCTCGATACTGCTTGCACTATATATATATATATATATATATATATATATATATATATATATATATAGAGGTAAGATGGTGGTGGGAGGTGGTCAACAGGAGCATCAGTTCCCTCAAGATTACAGGTACACCTTGCTGACGAGTGCCAAGTAGCACGAAACCCGGGTCCAGGGTTTCCTGTTGACCACCTCCCACCACCATCTTACCTCAATGAGTTTAATTTTATGTTCTTACATCACACATGTTATGTAGTAGCGAAGACATAAGTACGGGTAACTTGCAGGACCTACTATTGGACTATCATTCTTATTGTACAACTATTCGGTAACCAGATTATCTAAGCTTTATTTTGGCCTATTGATTATTACTATATGATTTACTGTTACTATGTTATACTCAGTTTTATTGATTATTGTCTCCCACGCTTACAGCCTCATTTGGCCTGGTTTTGTACAAATATTATTTTCTATTATATGGTATGATGTGGTCTGCCTGTCTGGTATATAGATAAAGTATGCTTGAAATAAACGATTCGCATTACAACAGCTGCTATTGGTGTTTTTGGACTCAAGTGGACGGGTTAGGCGGATAAGGACCAATAAGGACCCTAGATTACTCATACTAATCGAACGTCATTGTCACAGTGTGAAGGTCGTACAAGTCGTATTCTCTTGGTGGACAATTTACGCGAATTACGTCCTTGTTAAATTCGTAAGGTCATAACGAATCAGCGACGACCTTGATCAAGTCATAACAATTGGCTACCGCCTAGGTCAAAAGCATAACAAATTGGCGACAGCTAGGTCATGTCATAACAACACAGCTTATGTTTCCCAACTCGATATCATTCCTAAGTATTTACAGTATCATAACATTTTGTTATGTCTCCAGTTGGAAGCGCGTTTCGTCCTATTTGGGACTTGTCAGCTGGATGTACCTGCATCTCAGAGTTGATGTTCACTCTGGAACTCGAACCCAGTACCTTTCGCTTCAAACGCCATCGTATTATTCACTCAGCTACTGAGTCATATTTATTGAAAAAACCAAATGGAATACACCATTTCCATCTTTTCATTCTTAGACTATCGTCATTAGTATATATTAACATCACACTTATCAATTGTACGTGTGAAAAAAAGAATAACAAACTTTTATGTCATTTTATCTGAAGTTGTTTATCATTTCATGAGATGTTATTTTGCAAACATTAACTTACCCTGTCATCAATCAATCTAGGAAGACAATAAAGATGAAGAGGTGAGATATTTGCTGTTGTATCGAAAGAGCGGGAATGAATATTAGAAAGAGTATCTACTAGAAAAAACTTTAGATAATGTCTATTTAATTCTTACCTCCATTTCTATAAATTTTAGCATAGATGACGATTACAGTACGTGACAGACTCGAAATAAGATTTCTTGATTGAAAGCCACCTAATGCCCTGGTATGGCCGAGAGTGAGGAGAGTCAGCTATCCCTTTCCAAATGCTCTCACATGGCCACGCGTATATAGCCCCTGCCACACAAGTCCTACTAACTGCCTTCTCGTGGCACTACTGTTGTTTGCGACATTCAGAGGACGAAAAGTGAATGTCCGACGCTTTAAACGGGTTGGTGGCAATGGAAAGTTCATCTAGGTGAGTTGGAAAACCCTTATCCCAAACCAATCATCCACATGGGCTCCAGTATCATGAAGGAACAAATGGAGTATGAATCAATCGGCTACCATGGGATTGCATCTCCTCACGAAGCTCCACTGCCTTGTGAATCAGATCTTTAGGTCAAAGGCTCCGGGTTTGGCCCCATAAGAAAACCATCTGCTTTGGTTTGGGCACCCGGACAGTATCACAGCATTCATACAAATCAAATGAGATTTGTGTGACGCATATATATCTGGTGCCCCTTTGTACCAATATTTATGTATTCAAATAAATAAATAAATCTTGATTGAGATTAAAGTTAAACTGGAGTTACCTTATAATTTGAATTCGTGCTCTCAGGAGTTCCCGTTTGAACACTAACAAGTGGGCTACATAAACTGACAAACTAGAATTTCACAAGTGTCGATATTTCATCACAATAAAAATATGGATATTTAAGCTAAGATAAATAGTGGATAGCAGTAGAATCCAGTTTGACGCGCGTTTCGTTGCATTTGGGACTCAGACCCGAAATCGTTCTCTTCAAACGCCATCACGTTATCCATTTTGTTACTGAGTCCTTATAGTCACCTGCTTGTCCGATGGGGTGATGTTTAGTTTACGAGCTACGATAATTTAACTACAGATTTAAATCGTTCAAATCAGCAGTAATAAAGACTGTGTTTGATCATTTAAGTTCCACGAAGCAACCTACAATATTTGATTTAGTTGGGCATTCAAGTAAAATTTCAAGTCAGTCAGTCAGCCACACCATAGAACTTCGTACGTACGTACATCAGTTCGAGTTGCCATACCACATAAGCACGGAGATACAGTTGTCGATTCAAATCCCAAAGTGGTAGAAGTAGTAGGAGTATAAGTAGCAATCGGAAATATTAGAGTTTGAAGATGTTATCCAAGGAGTATAATACAGTGAAATAAATTTGAAAAGAGAAAGAAGATAGAGACATGAATAATTCAGAAGATTAGAATTTGGCAGAACATAAGGAATGGAGGCACCTTTGCCATTGCAGACGATTTTGAACCATGTCACCCAAGGTCTCTAACCGTCGATTGCTGCCATCTCTCGGATCCCAACCAGGTAGTCTACACCTACCTACCAATATGTCTCAGTCCACTCGTCGGTGACTTGATGGATTTGTGTCACGTTTTGGTCTGGCCGCCCCTAGCTTTCTTCCAACCTACTCTTACGCCATAAAACATTGCACGTTATATTTCAGATTTTTAATAAAATAAGAAAGAATGGTTCAACGAAGAGTTCTGTTTTCGGCGAATTCATCTTCAAAGTTGTACAATCGCCACTATGTATACTTCTTTTTTTCAAGACAATCATCACAGTAATAGAGGTAATAAAACTCTGTTAAACATGGTAACAATGGGGTAGAATAAGCAAAAGCGTTATAACGTTATTGTTAATCATGGATACTAATAATAGTTTCACTGCATATTGAAGATAGGGAAATTTTAATTAAGAAAGGAAGGCTCAGCATGATACGACAAAAAGTTAAATTTGGGATGAAATGTAATCAAGAGGGTCATAGAAACATAAATAAACCAGTTGGGGGTAAACAGTCTATAGAGAGGATAAAGGGGGGGAAGTAAATGTCTATGAAGGAAGAAAAGTGTGAAGAGGAAAATTGAGACATTAAGACCATGGTAGAAGAAAAGGTTGCACTTATTTATTCTTGAAACACAATTCTGATTTTCCGAGACGTATGACTATTGATGCGACAATGTTAAGATGCAATCTTACTGTCTTTGACAGCTTCCTACTTACCTTATAGATGATTTTAAACGAAGAATTCGCCTTGATTGAGTGATCTGTGTTCACATGGTGTTCGATTAGTGAACTTCTTATTGAACCGTTCCCATCTCTATTTAGACAAACCGGGTAATGTATTTGAATTCGTTTGGGTAACATACGCATCGAACAACTTATAAACCTAGTTTCACATGAACAGGTATATTGATAAATGAAAATAGAGCTAGTTAAATGAGATAATTTCTCTTTAAGGTTGTTGATGAACATTGACCGACTAGAGATTTTTCGGAGAGAATCAGAAATTCTCCTCTTTAGGATATCTGTAACTACTTCACCTTCGAGATCGATATCCACGTAAAGTGTTTTCTTTTCAACTGAGGTTATTTGTCCTATAGAAGGTTTGAGATTTATATTCTTGTTAATAAACATCGAATGATTCTTGTTTTCCATAACTATTTTCTAAAGGAGGTTCAGCTCATTATCTATGACCTAAGGACTAAAAATTATTTGTATTTGAATCAGAAGGGGTTTTGTGGAGATTTCAGAATTTTCATAGTTGAGATCATCAGTCAAATGAAGCTAGACCATCATGGAAATCCTGGAAGCACTGGACAGCCATTTCGTCCTATTGTAGGACACCTCAGCAGTGCACATCCACGATCCCGCCCCACAAGATTCCAACCCAGGACCTATCAGTATCGCGCGCGAGCGCCTAACCTCTAGACCACTGAGCTGGCCGGCATCCAACAGTGTTAGTGTCTGATTTCAACCAATCCACGAAATTGAGCGACCATCCACCATTATCTTCAGTGTATTCATTTAGAAACTGATATAATTAAATTTCTCTTTCGACTAATAAGTGCCCAAACTAACCTCCCTCACTTCCCAGATTTGTTTTTTTAAAGCTAACTGATAGGTCCTGGATTCGAATCTCGCGAGACGGGATCGTGTATGTGCACTGCTATTGAGGGGTCGCACAATGGTACGAAACGGTCTTTCAGTACTTCCAGGTTTTCCATGATGGTCTAGATTCAATTAATTCATGATTTCAACTATGAAAATACTGTTTACGTAACACATTTTCTTTATCTAAAACTTGTACAGTTCTACCTTTTGGACTAAAACCAAACATCAGTTGTCTAGTTTTTGAAATTTTTTAACCAATCATATTGTAATCTTAGTCAGGTGACCTACTTTTATCGATTAAAACTGACTATTCGTGTAATTTCTCATTTATGATTGGTCAATATAAAAAATTTAACATACAACCAATTGACTCTCTCTCTGCCCCCCTCCTCTAATCTGAGTAAATTTAAACCAATGAAATTTTTTAACCAATCAAAATTAAAGTCAACTGATTAAAATTAATAACATGTGTAATTTTTGTTTTAAATCATAATTGAAATTATAAACTTATGGATTCTATATACTCATCAGCTAAAGCTATTGTAAGTCGAGCACAACCAAGTTTAGATGGTGGAATTATAACATTTACTTTGAATAATCTTATTAAAATCCCTTCATCTAATGTAAATCAAAGTTTATCACATACTGATGTTACTATAATTGATCATATTTTATCAACATATTCACGTACAGGTTATGCATTAAGTATTGTATGTTCTATAATATGGACTATTTTATTAATAATTGCATCATGTTCAACATGTCGTCAACGTAAACGTATAAAAAAACGTTCAGAAACATTATTATATCTTGCACCAACAGAAAATCATACATCAAGAGAAACTATTGAAATTGCTATACATCCAAAACATTCACCTAAATCAACATTTTATCGTACACGTGAACGTTTACAATCTAAATGGTTATGTCTTGTTATACAATTTTCATTATTAACTATTTTAACAATTTTATTAGGTACAGCAGTATTACTTGGTTTTACTGTATGTGGTCAATTTCATACAAATTTAGTATCTACACCAAGTCATGAAGAATCAATTGGACGATTATTAACTCCTACTGAATTAATGCAAACAAATCCTGAAAAAACACATGTATTCCCACGTATACTACGTGGTTTAGCACAAATAAGAGCTTATATCAGTGAATTTATTCCACAAACTAAACATGATATTGAACCTGTTGTAAAAAGTTTGATTGAAGCAACTGAATCAATGCAAGATCGTATGACTAATGAATTTAATTCAATTCTATTCAATGATATTGGAGTTACTGAAGCTTTTCAACTTGGTGACATCTTGGGAGAACATGTTGTCACATTGATGACGAAATATATAGCTATTGTACAATCGAATAATGCTTTTAAACATACATTTGATCGTCTTAAAGTTGAATTTCAAACATGGTTACGTTTAGTCAATACTGAAAGTCCAAATAATAATGATTATCAGAGTTGTACTGGTCAGTGCAATGAATTACGTTCAACATTTTTTAATAATGTATCTATACGACCAGATACATTTATGCCTGAAATTAATTTTGCTATAGCATTGAAATTTCTAACTACTGATCGTAATCAAACTGCTGAAAGTGTACAAGCTCAGTTAAATCATGGTAAAGAATTATCTAATAGTCAACTTGAAAAAACTAAAACTTTAATGGCCGAAAAGATTAATATCCCTGAATCGATACGTAATATGACAAATAAACAATGGGATCAATTAGAACCTCAATTGACTAAAGCTATTGAAGAAATTGATAAGATCTCTATATTCATAACAAGATCTCTTTCACCGAAAGTTTCTTCGACTTCTAGTCTTTTCTTAACATTGAATCTTTTTTTTTGGTTCTCTATCTTATTGATCACTATTGGTTTAATGTGGTTAATTATACGATATCATTTTGTACCGACAGAAATTAGTCTACATACTCGTAATCGTATTCGCCTTGGTGCTAGTATTGGATTTTGTATTCTTGCATTTAGTATTATTTTAGCTTGTTTATTCTATTTAATTGGTGGATACCTCTATACTGAAGGTTGTCGTTATGTAAATCCTGAACAGAATGTAATCAATATTACAGATTATGATCCCATACATCATAATTATATACAACGTGCAATGTTTCCTGTTGATGCACATATCAATGCTTTCATTAATCGTAATTGGCCAGCGATTGTTACAATGGCTAGTCAGTTTTCACATATGCCTATTCCTCATATTCGTAGTCCAATCTATAGTATTTTACATAATTGCCATGACAACCAAGGAATTTTACAAGCAATGGATAGTATTAGAGATTTTGATATGACAACATTAAATGATCCAGAAATGTCTGATCGATTTATTAATCTTGGTAAAGATATTATGATTGATTCATTAAGAACAATCAATGTTGATGAAATGTTCCCTAAGGAGACTGATGAAAATTTAGCTATGGCATCACGTTTAGATGATTTTATTGTAAATTATGAAGAGGTACGTTCAAAATTACCTAAAACCTATTTAAGTATTCAATCACCAAGTGATGAATCTATCGATTATACATTATGGCCAGTTAAAAAAATGTGGAATTTATGGGATATCTATTATACAAATATATTAAGTAATCGTTTATCAATTGAACAAATAGATCGATTAAATGTTGCTACGGATAAAGTTCGACAAACATTAACACAATTAGATAATATCATATCAGATATAGATGAGAATCTAGTTGTCTTATCGAAATTAAATAAAATTGCTCCACATGTTGCTAAATTACAAAAACGACTTATTGAACTCAAAACTATTATGAATAATAAAACAGTTTTAATCAATCGAGCTGTCCATTTATTTGATCAAAATATTAAATTTAATACACCAATTGAAGCTGAAAAATTAATTCTACAATTTGGACCAAAAATTATGTCAAAAGTTGGTCAATGTTATCGTTTATATGCTGCTGCTGAAGATTTAAATGATGCTATATGTAATGGTATTGTAAGTGTATTAAATGGTTTCTGGTTTTTATTTGGTTGGGTTACATTGATTGGTACATTAATCATAATATTTAGTTTATTACTATTAATGCATAAAACACCAATAGATCAATCATCTACTGTTGAAAAATCTTATCATAGAAATATAAAACATAAAGATATACCTTCTATGGGAACAGAAACATCAACAAATCCTAGTGAATTAGAAGCACTTAATAATCGATAAAATTTTAAAAAAAAAAAAAAAGGATACACAATCCACCCCCACTACCCTCCTTTACCCTTGTATAACAATAATAATCATAATCATAATGTGCATACAAATTTATACTATTCATTTATGTATAATAATACTTCCTTGTCTGTGTGTGTGTGTGTATGAGTATGCGTGCGCGTGCGTGTGTGCGTGTGAATGATGATCATCAATTTTTTTTATTCTTTTTACCATATAATCTTTTAACCATTCTGGCATGATTCTCCCCCCCCCTCCTATTACTCTAATTGATTCAAAGCTTATTTGTTTATATTATTATTATTATTATTATCATGTTAACAAGTCATGTATGTCTCTCTAGGAATTTTCTTTTTTCTATACAGAAAAATATTTATTTTCTAAAAAAAAATTAAAAAAAATTTTTTTTTTTAAAATCAACCCAGCAACAAAACTATTGCATTCTAATTGTTTTATCATTGGAATTTTTGTTTTGTTATTTTTTCTAAATAGACATACAATGAGAACGTCAGCTTCTTTTTTTTTTACAAACTCCCCCTCTCTTCTTTTTTTTTTTAAAAAAAAAATCAAAAATCATTTATATTACTTTTTTTGTGTATATGTTAGTTAAAATAAAATGAAAATAATTCGGTATTGTTTTGTTGTTGTTATGGTTCATTGATTATCGGTCGCAATTTGATCTGATTAAGTAGTCCCTAAATGCCTTGGTACGGTCGAGAGGGGGGAGAGTCCTCCCTCCCACTCGAAATGCTTTTTCATGACCACATGTTTAAAACCAGTATTATGGAAGTTCTACTCACTGCTTTCTCGTGGTGGTGGTGTTGTTTACGGGGTTGAGAGGACGAAAAGGGAATTCTCGTCACTTTAACCAGGTTAGTAGATATGGAGGATCCAGCTAAAGGGAGTTGGAAAACTTTGATTCCAAACTAATCGTGTACATAGGTTCCAGGATCCTGGTGGGATACATGGCGTATGAACGTATTGTTCGTCACTGACTACCTTGTAACTACATCTGCTTACGTTGCTCCACTGCCTTGTGGATCAGATCTTTAAGTCAAAGGCTCCGGGTGTGGCCCCCTAAGAAAATAACCTGATTCGATCTGACCACCCGGGTAGTATCACAGCCCTCACACAAATCAAGTGACTTGTATGGCGCATGTATATCTGGTGCCCCTTAGTATCATTATTTATGTGTTGAAATAATAATGATTTGTTTGTGACCTCATTGTTTTGTAACTAAGTAAACTGCTGGAGTTTTAAGTGTAGTATATCAGGGAAGCAACAATCAATTTTATGTGTTCTATGATATGAATTAAATTTGTTTTATCATGTCGACTAATAGTATCTAACTATTATGAACCTTAGTAAGTAGACGGTAAAATTGATAGTTGATTACTTGAACTAGTTGAAGTTATCTATAACGTTTTTAAATTCGATAAATCTGTTGTATACAGTAGTTTTGGCTATTAGTCCACCCTTCTTCAATGAGTGAGTGTTAGATATTTGAGTGTAATTTTCATTACAGATTTTATTAAGCTGTGATTTTCATTAAATACATATTTTTTATTAGGCATGTCAGGCTATAATTCAATGGATTGTAGATAAAACCAGCAGAAATGAAAGAAAGAAAGAAATGGATTGAACACATTAAATAAGTGTTATATCTAAAGTGTTTCAAATTCACTAGCTAGTGAACGGAACAAAGACTTGTGACCAGAGACCGATAAGCTAGCTATTCTGACGCGTCTCAGACCCAGCTAACTAGAGTAAGAAGTTCAAGTTGGAAGTTACTTGCGCCTGTTACTCCCAATGGAGCATAGGCCGCCGACCAGCTTTCTCCAACCCACTCTGTCCTGGGCTTCCTTTTCTAGTTCTACCCAGTTCTTGTTCATTATTCTCATGTCTGTCTCAATTTCTCGGCGTAATGTGTTCTTTGGTCTCCCTCTTCACCTTTGACCTTCAGGATTCCATGTGAGGGCTTGTCTTGTGACGCAATCAGGTGATTTCCTCAAGGTGTGCCCAATCCACTTCCAGCGCTCCTTCCTGATTTCTTCCTCTGCTGGAATCTGGTTTGTTCTCTCCCACAGTAACTTGTTGCTGATAGTGTCTGGCCATCGGATCCAAAGTATCTTGCGTAGACAGCTGTTAATAAACACTTGTATCTTCTGGATAATGGCTTTCGTACTTCTCCACGTCTCCGCCCCATACAGTAGGACTGTCTTGACATTTGTATTGAAAATTCTAACCTTGGTGTTGGTTGACAATTGTTTTGAGTTCCAGATGTTTTTCAGTTGTAAGTATGCTGCTCTTGCTTTGCCGATCCTCGCCCTCACATCTGCATCTGATCCACCGTGTTCATCAATGATGCTGCCCAGATATGTAAAGGTTTCCACATCCTCCAAAGCTTCTCCGTCAAGTGTAGTTTGATTGGTGCATATTGTGTTGTATCGGAGAGTCTTGCTTTTCCCTTTGTTTATGTTGAGACTTACTGCTGCTGAGGCTGCTGCTACACTGGTCGTTTTCTCCTGCATTTGTTGTTGCGTTTGTGATAGAAGAGCTAGATCATCGGCGAAGTCTAGATCGTCAAGTTGCATCCTGCCTGTCCACTGTATCCCGTGCTTTCCTCCAGTCGTTGACGTCTTCATGATCCAGTCGATGACCAGGAGAAAGAGAAAGGGTGTGAGTAAGCAACCTTGTCTAACACCGGTCTTTACCTCGAATGAGTCGGTGAGTTGTCCTCCGTGGGCGATTTGGCAGTTTAGTCCATCATAGGAGTTCCGTATAATATTGACTATCTTCTCAGGCACGCCGTAGTGTCGAAGAAGCCTCCATAGTGTCATCCTGTCCACGCTATCAAATGCCTTCTCGTAGTCGATGAAGTTGATGTAGAGTGATGAATTCCATTCGATTGATTGTTTCACAATGATCCGCAGAGTTGCGATTTGATCTGTGCACGATCTATCCTTACGAAATCCAGCTTGTTGATCTCGAAGTTGGGCGTCCACGGAATCCTTCATCCTGTTTAACAATACTCGGTTGAAGACTTTTCCTGGTATTGAGAGGAGAGTGATGCCCCTGTAGTTGTTGCACTTGCTCAGATCGCCTTTCTTTGGTATTTTGATCAGAAGTCCTTTTTTCCAGTCTGTTGGTACTTGTTCTTCGTCCCAAATCTTACTAAAGAGGATGTGTAGTATCTTGGCAGTTGCTGCTACATTTGCTTTCAGTGCCTCTGTCGGGATGTTGTCTGGTCCCGCTGCTTTGCCACTCTTGACTTGTCTAATGGCCATGCTGATCTCTTCAATTGTTGGTGGGCCAATATCGATTTGGAGGTCCGTGGGTGCTGCTTCGATGTTGGGTGGGTTCAGTGGAGCTGGTCGATTCAAGAGTTCTTTGAAGTGTTCTACCCACCTGTTTCGTTGTTCTTCAATGTCGGTGATTACTTTGCCTTCCTTGCTTTTCACTGGTCTTTCTGGCTTACGGTAATTTCCAGCAAGTTTCTTTGTTGTATCATACAGTTGTCTCATGTTTCCCTCTCTTGCAGCCTTTTCCGCTGTCGTTGCTAAATCTTCCACATATTTACGTTTGTCGGTTCTGATGCTCCTCTTTACTTGCTTGTTTGCCTCTGTGTATTCGGCTTGTGCCTTGGCTTTTTTCGCTCTTGTTCGGCTGATATTGATTGCTGCCCTCTTGTTCCTCCTTGCTTCAATCTTATCCAGTGTACCAACAGTGATCCATTCCTTGTGATGGTGCTTCTTTTGGCCCAGAACCTCTTGACATGTTGAAACGATTGCCTCCTTGATACCTTTCCAGTTGTTCTCCATGGTAGTCCCCTCTCCATTGAGTAGATCATAAAAGGCCTGGAACCTGTTGCTGAGGGCTATGTTGAATTTGTTGAGTTTGTCAGCATCTCGAAGAAAGGCCGTATTAAACTTTTGTGATGTTGTCCGCGCCGTTGTCCACTGCTTCTTGAGTTTTAGTTTCATCTTGGCGACCAGCAAATGATGATCGGATGCTATATCAGTTCCTCTTCTGGTTCTCACATCCTCCATCGTCCTCCTGAACTTTTTGTTGATGCAGATATGGTCGATTTGATTCTGTGTAGTGTGATCCGGTGAAATCCAAGTGGCTTTGTGTATGTTTTTGTGTGGGAATATGGTGCCACCTATGACGAGTTTATTGAAGTCACATAGGTTTGCAAATCTCTCACCATTTTCGTTCCTTTCTCCCAGTCCATGTTGTCCCATGACGTCTTCGTATCCAGTGTTGTCCATTCCAACCTTAGCATTGAGATCTCCCATCAGAATTATCAGGTCCTTGGTTGGGCACTTCTCGAAGATCGACTGCAGCCTATCGTAGAATTGGTTTTTAGCGTCTTCATCGTAGTCATTGGTAGGCGCATTGCATTGGATGACGTTCATTGTAATGCCCTCTCTCTTTGTTTTGAAGGAGGCTTTGATGATCATTGGTCCATGAGGTTCCCATCCAATAAGTGCATTTTGTGCTTTTCTGGACAGCATCAATGCAACTCCTTGTGTATGTGGGGCATTTTCTTCATGATCGGAGTATAACAGAAGTTCTCCTGAAGACAGACGTTGTTGTCCGACCTGCGTCCAATGTGTTTCGCTGATTCCAAGAACCTCCAGGTATTTTCTCATTTCTGCAGCAATTTGGAAGACTCTTCCGGTCTCCCACATTGTCCGGACATTCCATGTACCTATAAAAATTGTCGCTCTGGTTGTAAGAAGGTGCATCGGCCTCATGACTTCCGAAGGAACTCGGCTTTCATCATGAGACGTCATTATTCCTTCTACTCCCAGGGCAGAGTTTGAATGATTTTTTCTGGTTAGCGTTTTTTTAGCGAGTTGATTTTCTACGGGATGGGGTCGCTAACCCCATGCCCAACCCTCCTCCTTTACCCGGGCTTGGGACCGGCAGTAACCCCCAGAGGAACTACAGGCGGAGTTAAGTTGGAAGTGGGGAAAATATATGCCGTAGCAGCCAAAAGCATAGCAATCGTAAGGGGAAAAAATCAAACGTATATATATACAGCAATAAATTGTCCCTGGGCAGCATTACAAAATAGCATACTCAAAGATACAACGGACCAATAGTGTTTAAGATATTTTACAGGTGGGAAATTCGACTCGAAGGTGAAAAGAAAGCTTTTGGCGCGAAAACAAAGAAATTCAAATTTTCAAAATAAAATTACAAAATTAGACCATTTATCAAGTAAGTTTTGGGGATTGAACATCCCCAACAGTAAGTCATTACTTAGTCTCATCATATCTAGCTAACTATTCTCATTATGGACGTGAATTCGTGCTACGAAATTAATAAAAAACAAGTTTCATTTAGAATGCATCGGAACACTAGTAATTACAAAGATGGATTGGATTAAACTAATCATAGACATCACATATATTGAGTGTACATCGGTGAATCAATGGTCTTATTAAGTATCAGTTACTTTAAGATTATAGTTATGTCTTAGTAATCAGTTAGTCAGTCACAACACAGAACTTCGTACGTACGTACATCAGTTCGAGTTGCCATACCACAGAGATGCAGTTGTCGATTCAAATCCTATAGTGGTAGAAGTAGTAAGAGTATGAACCGTAATCCGAAAGATTAGGGCAATG